AGGGAGGAAGGAGCAGGGCCTTCTTCTTAGAGTCCTGTAGCTCCCATGCATTCTGGGAAGCATCAGTGATTTTGTGGTTGGGTGGTTGGGTGGTTGGGTGGTTGGGTGGTTGGTTAGTTGGCTTACCCAATTTTGTGATGATGTGTGCGCTTGTCTTGTGGGGCATTGGCTTTCTGATAGAGAACATAACTTGCTATGATGGTTTTCTATATATATTAAAAAAAGATATCAGCCCGTCTTTTCGTATGATCACCAACAATAGTGTATATGTTGTATACTACATAAAGTATATAGATTATATAATACTATACATAGTATATACTATATATATGTATAGTGTATGCTATACTAATATAGTATATCCGAAATGCGTACGTAGTATATGCACTAATGTTATATTATATACCAAGCAAATATAAATAGAAATATAGACTAGTAAACTCCATTAATGAACGCAGGATTTAAAATTGGAATGGCATCCGTCTGGTATGATAGCCGCCTTCATTTAGTTAATTAAAGATATCCTCGTTTTTCCCTTTTTCCGAGGATCTTTAATCAAATCAATGAAGGGAAAAAGGGAAAAGCGAGGGGCTGTGACAACAAACGACTGTGTTCCAGTTTTAAATTCTGTGTTCATTAATTGAGTTTACAAGTCTATATTTATATTTGTATTTATAGTATTTTATACACATGGTATATAATACAACATTAGTGCATATACTACGTACGCATATCGTATATGCTACATAGTATATAGCATACAGTGCCATACACAATATGTATAGTATTATATTATATACTCGATATATATATATTTGACGATATATATATATATATATATATATATGAAAATCCGACGAAACAGTTTGTCACAGCCCCTCGTTTGTTGTCCTCTTCTCCCTCTCTGCCTACGGTTTACCGGCCAGTTCTATTTGACGATATATATATTTGTTCTCCTTTTCTCCCTCTCTGCCCATGGTTTACCGCACGGTTCTGTTAAATCTGTTTGATGATATACGTATATTATTTATATCGTCAAATATGGTGCATCACGTGCACACAAGTTGTGCACGCGCGCCGCATGGCGCATGCATACACATGCGCGCCGACGTGATGCGGCGCAATTTCAATAAATAAATAAATAATAATAATAAAAAATCAAAAGGGCAGGCTGTGGTAACCAAATGTGTGCCTCCCTTTTGAAAATTGTAAGTGCACAGAAGAAAAAAAAAATAAAAAAAAATTGGCACCACATCGTACTCATTGGATCTAGTCTAGTCTCTTTTCCAAAGTCTCCCCTGCAAAGAATTAGCAGGGAATCAGGGGTCCCACACATTTGGAAGGACGTTCATCGAACTGGTCGAGGATTAGGAGCAGGCCAGCCAGCAATGTATTCTGGATTCGGATTCAGAGGTCTCTGTTCCAACAGTTATGGGTTACGAACTTACGAACAAACACTACAAACACACTACAGTAGCTGTCTCATTTTTTTGTGTTTACCTTTTCTTACGTGCAGTGAGCCTTAGGGCCTGGCTAGCTCCACTCATCAGCTCATGCACAAAAGAAAAACATACGGCTTGTATGGTTCCCGTTTGGTGGAGAAGATTCATTCTACTGTAGTTTTGCACATTTGGTGAGTAGTGGAGTGAAGCCAGTAACCCATAACTGCTGAAACCCATCACATGCCGAGTTAGTAAATTCAGTAACCCATAACTGCTGAAAGCCTGAAACACGGACCTCACATCGAAGCAATACACCATATATATAGCTGGCCTGCTCCCTCCTTACTACAAGCCCAGCGCCTATCCTTCTCCTGCTGACAAGATCCTTGCTAAGTTGGCAGGGAACTTTTCAAGTGCGGGCAGGGCTTTTCTGAGTAATGTGGACGGCGCCAAAGGTCTCTCTCTCTCTCTCTCTCTCTCTCTCTCTCTCTCTCTCTCTCTCTCTCTCTCTCTCT